AAATTAGGTCATAAGAAATTGTCTTAGCCTGTTTAGCTTTGACTTAATGATCTCCGTCTGAAAATGTATTCCTCAGTAAGGATAATTAGTATCCAGGACTAAATTTGTTAATCTTTCTAACTCTAGCCAAATGATTGATATCTGCTAGACTCATACTCCTATTTAGCATTGACTTCAAAATTCCAACCTTAATTACATTTGTTGGAACAAAAATTTTAAAAAGAACCAGCATATGTTGGCCTCCTATAAACATATCTTCTTAACCTCTTCTCTTCTCTTCTCTAATAAAGAGAACACTGAGAAAGGGTAAAGACTTATTCTCTACCATTTCCATTATGAACATATTTTTCCTTTTATCTGAGCTACTTAAAAATAGGAAACATACTAACCTTTTCTTGCCATGAGAGCAAATTATAAAATAATCATCAATATATCTAAGCAGCAATTTGGGGATTAGTATTGCCTCTTTCAGGCTGTGTTCCTCAAGTCTTGCCATATAATTGTTCGCCAAGATGGGAGCTAAGCAAGTTAATTTCGTAAGCCCTTGTATCTGTTCCTCAGATATGCCATTAAAAATTAAGACAGGTACTACTCATGGATAGGTTGTAAAGTCTATATATATACATTAAGCTCAAACCTGGTCCTCATGTGGTCTCTGGATGCTTCTCTAGGGTTTGTCCAAGCACCTGAATGGTTCCCTGAACAGGAATGTTTGTGCACATAGACACAGTATCAAAACTTATTAGCCAATCTTCTTATGAAGTGATTTTCTCATCAATTAATTTTGCAAATTCATAAGAATTTTTGACTGAATATAGCCCAAAATTAGCAGTTTTTCCTAGTCATATGCACAAAAACAGTGAGATTTTATGCAGCATGCTTCCTTTATTATCTACAATTAATCTTAGAGGGAATAATCCTTGCGAACATTAGGGGAACCATGAGCAGTGGGGACACTTGAATTTCTCTGGAGTAATTAATTCGTTTTCCAATTCTCCATTTAACCATTACTTACGAACACCTTGAGGGCATCCTTTACCCCAGTCTTCAATCTTTCTTTTAGATATCTCATAAAATGTATTAACTTGTTAGTATAATTCTAATGAACTAGCATTTTCTCTATACAACTAATCCTAGCCATGAATACCACTGCTCTACCTTGTCGGCTATCATAACGATTCGATTATTGCCACATAAATATATAGAAACCCTACTAAGGACACAATATTTCTTCGACGGGATTATATGATCAAAATGAGGGGTCGCCTCTAGCTCAATACTATTCTTTACCTCCTCAGGCAATCTATTAGATAAGCAACAAGTATGTCCAGAAAATGATTTACCTCATTTGTAGGAGCAAAATTTAATCCTCTTTCTAATAAAAGTGCCACACTATCCTCCAGAGTTATACTGGATAAATTAATTTTCGCATCTTTCTCCAGTTTGTTACAAACATGGTTACTTCGACTTAACTTTGACGCAAGATTTCTCGATCCTATTATAATTCCTAAGTACCGGAGCTTCTTATTGTGTAGCCGCCGAGTCATTCTGTCCCTGGCCTCTCCTAACCTGTCAGTCATATCCTGTAACTTAAGGAACTCAACACTAGTTAGTACTTCAGAAAGGGATTGTCTAAGCCTGTTTGGGGTTCTAATTAGTTCGTGTAGTCTGTTATTGCTTTCCTTAAGCCTTATTTTACAAAACCACACGATATCTGATCAAGTTCCCTACTAATGGACCTCGTTAGATTAAAGCGTTTGCCGATAAAAAACCTCTAGGAACAACATTATTAGAAATAAAAATTCTTGACATGCATGAATCACAATGAAACTGTACTAAGCTGGCATATATCTATTCACGGCTGATCTCTTGGGGGCAAGAGACAGTTCTTGGATCTACATGATTTGGAAAATAGCTATAAAAAACGGCTCAGCCTAAACACATCGCAAGCCAACTAGTTACGGTTAGTAAAATCTCTTAGAACCCCTATATTCAAATGGAGTATATCTAAGCTAATTTGGAAGTAAATCGTAAAGTTTAGCAAATAAGCCCACCTCAGTGCATTGAGCATGATGCTTGGCTTTTTTCCGAACTAGTGCTGGCATGATGTCCTCCATCGTGGCCTCTTCGTGTTCCTCCTCATCGTCTATCTCTTCTTCATTAGCATCATCTTCCCCGAATAATATTTCGTCATCCTCATCTTCTTCAGTTTCCATCTTTTTTTCTTCCTGATTACTCTTCATATTAAGAGAAGATTCCATTTGCCCTTGCTGATTACGCTTTTTTGTTTCAGCTCGTGGTGTAGTCTCGCTTCGTCTAAGTCCCTCAACCAGACCACTCATTGTCAAACGTAAAGTCAATCTGCGCTTGGCATTCAACCAGTCGGCCGAGCTAGCAGTGAGATCATGCTGCCGGCGCTGAAGCCAGCAAATTGCATCATCGGCGCCGGATAGCCAGGCAGATAACTCGACGAAGACAAGGCGGATAAGCCTGCGCAAAAATGTCAAGCGCTGTTGAGTAGCAGAGGTTTTGGAAATAACTGCAGCAACCTGGTCGTGCGTGAGAGACCGAAGGGTAGAACCATTTGACTTCAAAGCCACCAAAAAATCAAACAAAATTAAAAATAAATAAAGAAAAAAAGTATAATACAATATGGAAAAACTTGTCCTCCA